TCCCTACCTTGCTATGAGGTCAGGGAATTATGCTTACCCCAGTTCAAGTGCAGCCTCCCTTAGTCATGGTGAAAGAGACTGTCATTGGTGGCTTTGCCCCCACCAACACGACATGCTTATCAGTGCCTTCTCCCTTCAGAATACCCCAATACTAATTCAGGCTCTGCACCCAGCCTCACTTGCAGCAACACGAAGGCCACACACAGGCCTGTGCCTTTACTGATCACACCTCGCTGTCTGGACTTACTTCCCTCTCTCCCGTATTTAGCTGTCCCAGCTCTGATGGGTTTGTGTATGCGGCAGCTGCTGGCAGGCCAGCCTGCCTCGATCCCTTCACTTCTCCCTATCTTTCTCAAATGGCAGTTTCAGAAATTTCGTGCGGCCGAGGCTGGAGTCCTTGATGCGCATAGCCCATGGGACCACAACCTGAGATCTCTCCTTGCTCCTGTCATGCCGCCGTGCGGAGCTGTGTATGTATCGCGCACAGAGGTGACCTTCCCCTTCTGTAGTTTGTGTCACACTGAACCTCAAAAACAACCTGTAACCAAGACCTTTGTCTTCGCTGTGCCCAGCAATGTTCATAATACCCAGCCAGCATCTTTGTGTGCCAGCTTATTGGTATGACAGCCCCATAACTTGCAAGCAATTTCTCCTGACGCCTCAGTCTGTCTTGTGGAACAAGAGTGAACCCCTCATCTGCCTCCTTATCTGACCATCCAGAACGAATGAACTAATCGTGGGATGCACCCACGAGTGCTGAGGGAGCTGGCGGATGTTATCGCTAGGCCTCTCTCCATCATCTTTGAAAGGTCCTGGAGATCAGGAGAGGTGCCTGAGGACTGGAAGAAAGCCAATGTCACGCCAGTCTTCAAAAAGGGCAAGAAGGAGGAGCCAGGAAACTATAGGCCTGTCAGCCTCACCTCCATCCCGGGAAAGGTGATGGAACAGCTCCTCCTGGAGGTCATCACTAAGCATCTGGAGGACAAGAAGGTGATCAGGAGTAGTCAGCATGGATTCACCAAAGGGAAATCATGCTTGACCAATCTGATAGCCTTCTATGACAGAATGACTGGCTGGGTAGATGAGGGCAGAGCAGTGGATGTTGTCTTTCTGGACTTCAGCAAGGCTTTTGACACTGTCTCCCATCACATCCTCCCAGG